CCCGCCTCCCAGAGAGGGAAAAGAGGGGAAAAAAAACCTAAGCAGCCAAAGCTATAGCAAATATATATATATATATATATATTTTGCATATGAGACAGATACACAAAAGGAGAATACCACACACCTGGGGGGGGGGGGGGGGGAAGGGAAAGGGAGAAAGACAAAAAGGGGCAAGGACCGAGCAAGTCAAACAGCCAACCGAAGGCAAACTAGCAGAAATCTCACCACTTCCCTTCGAACAGGCAGGATGACCTGATGCGGTCCAAGGCTCTCCCCTCACGCGTGGCGGATAACGGCAGTCACTGTAGGCCTCGGCTCCAGATAAGCCCGATCGAAACAGGGACCCACCGTTCTCGAATCTCGCCGGAGAGGAAGAGGGCGCAATCCCTCCCACTGGCTTTATTTATACCTCCAGTTACGTAAAGGAATAGCATGGAATACTTCCGTGATCACTTCTCTAGTTCCTTCCTGGTTACAAGTTGGTCTCCAGGAAGGCCTAGAGTGAAACCACCACATTCTGAAAACAGGAAGTGACAGCCTTTATCGCCAGAAAAGAAAACCTGGAAGCTTTGGCTTTGTGTTGCAGTTGGTTTGTCAACCTGAGGACGCCATAAGCAGCAAGAGCTTTCTGTGCTGGCAACTTCAGTGTGGGAGGAATCTTTGTTTACATGCAATTTTGGAAGTCGGGCCGGCAGCTGGGAGGCAGGTCTGAAAACAGGAAACAAGAACACTTATCTGCAGGAAAGAAAGCCTGGAAGCTTTGGCTTTGTGGAGCACTTGGTCTGCCAGCCTGAAGACTCACTGGGGAGAAAGAGTTTCCATGCTGGCATCATTGCTGTGGGAGGAATTTTTGTCCACAGGTAATTTTGGTAGTCGATCTGGCAGTTGGGAGGCAAGGCTGAAAACAGGAAGTTACAGTCTTTATCGCCAAGAAAGAAAGTCTGGAAGTTTCGGATTTGTGCTGCAGTTGGTTTGTCAACCTGGGGATGCTATAGGCAGAGAGTTTTCTGTGCTGGAAACTTTGGTGTTAGAGGAATCTTTGTATGCAATTTTGGAAGTGCATCTGGCATTTGGGAAGGAGGTCTGAAAACAGAAAACAACAGCCCTTATCTGCAGGAAAGAAAGCCTGGAAGATCTGACTTTGTGGTGCAGTTGGTTTGTCAACCTGGAGACACCATGGGGAGCAAGAGCTTTCTGTGCTTGCAGCTTTGGTGTGGGAGGAATCTTTGTTTGTATGCAATTTTGGGTGTCGGACTGTCAGTTGGGAGGCAGGGCTAAAAATAGAAAACAAAAGCCGTTATCCCCAGGAAAAAAAACCTGCAAGCTTAGGTTTTGTGATGCAGTTTCTTTGTCAGCCTGGAGACTCCGTGTGGAGCAAGAGCTTTCTGTGCTGGCAACTTTGGTGTGGGAGGAATCTTTGTTTGTATGCAATGTTGGAAGTCGGGTCGGCAGTGGGAAGCAGGTCTGAAAACAGGAAACAAGAGCCCTTAACCCCAGGAAAGAAAGCCTGGAAGCTTTGGCTTGGTTTGTCAGCCTGGAGACTCCATGGGGAGTAAGAGCTTTCTGCGCTTGCATCTTTGGTGTGGGAGGAGTCTTTGTTTATGTGCAATTTTGGGTGTTGGGCTGGCAGTTGGGAGGCAGATATGAAAACAGGAAATCACAGCCCTTATCCACAGGGAAGAATACCTGGAAGCTTTGGCTTTATGGTGCAGTTGGTTTGTCAGCCTGGAGACTCCATCCAGAGCAAGAATTTCTGTGCTGGTACCTTTGGTGTAGGAGGAATCTTTGTATGCAATTTTGGAAGTCGGTCTGGCAGTTGGGAGACAGGGCTGAAAACAGGAAAAGCAGCCCTTATCGGCAGGAAAGAAAACCTGGAAGCTTTGGTTTTGTGCTGCAGTTGGTTTGTCAGCGTGGAGACTCCATGAGCAGCAAGAGCTTTCTGTACTTTCACCTTTGGTGTTGGAAGAGTTTCCGTGCTTGCATCATTGCTGTGGGAGGAATCTTCGTCCGTTGGCAATGTTAGGAGACAGACCGGCGGTTGGGAGGCAGGTCTGAAAACAGGAAGTGACAGCCTTTATCGCCAGAAAAGAAAGCCTGGAAGCTTAGGCTTTGTGTTGCAGTTGGTTTGTCAACCTGAGTACGCCATAAGCAACAAGAGCTTTCTGTGCTGGTATCTTTGCTGTGAGAGGAATCTTTGTTTACATGCAGTTTTGGGTGTTGGTCTTGCAGTTGGGAGGCAGGTCTGAAAACAGGAAACAACAGCCCTTATCTGCAGGAAAGAAAGCCAGTAAGCTCTGGCTTTGTGGTGCAGTTGGTTTGTCAACCTGAAAACTCAATGGGTAGAAAGAGTTTCCATGCTGGCATAATTGCTGTGGGAAGAATTCTTCGTCCGTAGGCAATTTTCCGAGTCGGGCCGGTAGTTGGGAGTCAGGGCTGAAAAAAGGAAGTGACAACCTCTATCACCGGGAAAGAAAGCCAGGAAGCTTTGGCTTTGTTGTGCAGTTTGTTTTTCAGCCTGGAGACTCCATGGGGAGCAAGAGCTTTCTGTGCTGGCAACTTTGCTGTGAGAGTAATCTTTGGATGCAATGTTGGAAGTCGGTCTGGCAGTTGGGAGGCATGTCTGAAAACAGGAAACAACAGCCTTAATCTGCAGGAAAGAAAGCCTGGAACCTTTGGTTTTGTAGTGCAGTTGATTTGTCAGTTTGGAGACTCCCTGTGGAGCAAGAGCTTTCTGTGCTGTCACCTTTGATGCGGGAGGAATCTATATTTACATGGAATTTTGGGTGTCGGGCTGTAAGTAGGGAGGCAGGTCTGAAAACAGGAAACAACAGCCCTTATCCCCATGAAAGAAAGCCAGCAAGCTTTGGCTCACAAAATTGCATACAAAGATTCCTGCCACACCAAAGATGCAAGCACAGAAAGCTCTTGCTGCCCATGGAGTGGCCAGAATCACACATCAGCTGCACAACAAAACCAAATCTTCCAGGCTTTCTTTCCTGGCAATAAAGGCTGTTGTTTCCTATTTTCAGACCTGCTTCCCAACTGACAGCGCGACTTCAAAAATTGCATACAAACAAAGATTTCTCCCAGACTAAAGTTGACAGCACAGAAAGCTCTTGCTCCACATGGAGTCCCAAGGAAGACAAACCAACGGCACCACAAAACCAAAGTTTCCAGGCTTTCTTTCCTGGCAATAAGGGCTGTTGTTTCCTGTTTTCAGACTTTCCTCCCAACTGCCAGCCCAACTCCCAAAATTGCATATAAACAAATATTCCTTCCTCAAGAAAAAGTGCCAGTACAGAAAGTTCTTGGTCTGCTTAAAGTCTTTAGGCTAGCAAAGCAACTGCACCATAAAACCAAAGCTTTCAGGTTGTATTTCCTGCAGATAAGGGCTGTTGTTTCCTGTCTTCAGACATGCCTCCCAAGTGACAGACCGACTTCCAAAATTGCATCCAAAGATTCCTCTCACAGCAAAGATGCCAGCACAAAAAGCTTATGCTCCCCATGGAGTCTCCAGGTGAACAAACCAATTGCACCACAAAGTAAAAGCTCGCAGGCTTACCTTCCTGGGGATAAGGGCTGATGTTTCCTCTTTTTAGACCTGCCTCCCAACTGACAGCCCAACTCCCAAAATTGCATATAAACAAAGATTCCTTCCACACCAAAAGTGCCAGTACAGAAAGTTCTTGGTCCTCATGGAGTCTCCAGGCTAGCAAACTAACTGCACCATAAAGCCAAATCTTCCAGGTTTTCTTTCCAGCGGATAAGGGCTGTGATTTCTTGTTTTCATTCCTGCCTCCCAACTGCCGACCCGCCTCCTAAATTGCACATAAACAAAGACTCTTCCCACACCAAAGATGCCAGCGCAGAAATGTCTTGCTCCCCATGGAGTCTCCACCTTGACAAACCAACTGCACCACAAAGCCAAAGCTTGCTTGCTTTCTTTCCTGCAGATAACGGCTGTTGTTTTCTGTTTTCCCAACTGCAAGACGGACTTCCAAAATTGCATATAAACAAAGATTCCACCCACAGCAAAGATGCCAGCACGGAAACTCTTTCTCCCCATTGAGTCTTCAGGCTGACAAACCAACTGCACCACAAAACCAAAGCTTGCTGGCTTTCTTTCCTGCAGATAAGGGTTGTTGTTTCCTGTTTCAAGACCTGCCTCCCAACTGCCATTCCAACACCCAAAATTGCATGTAAAAAGAGATTCCTCCCACACGAAAGGTGCAAGCAGAGAAAGCTCTTGCTGACCATGGAGTCCCCAGGCTGACAAACCAACTGCACCACAAAGTCAAAGCTCACAGGCTTTCTTTCCTGGCAATAAGGGCTGTTGTTTCCTGTTTTCAGACCTGTTTCCCAACTGCAGTTCTGACTTCCAAATTTGCATATAAACAAAGATTCCTCTAACACCAAAGTTTCCAGCACAGAAAACTTTTTCTGCCCATGGAGTTTCCAGGCTGACAAACCAACTGCATCATAAAACCAAAGCTTCTAGGTTTTCTTTCCAGCGGATATAGGCTGTGATTTCTTGTTTTCATACCTGCTTCCCAGCTACCAGCTCAACACCCAAAATTACACATAAAAAAAACTTCTCCCACACCAAAGATGCCAGCACAGAAAGCTCTTGCTCCCCATTGAGTCTCCAGGCTGACAAACCAACTGCACCACAAAGCCAAAGCTTACTGGTTTTCTTTCCTGTAGATAAGGGCTGTTGTTTCCTGTTTTCAGACCTGTTTCCCAACTGCCAGACCGATATCCAAAATTGCATACAAGCATAGATTTTTCCCGCAAGAAAGGTGACAGCACAGAAAGCTCTTGCTTCTCATGGAGCCTTCAGGCTGACAAACCAACTGCACAACAAAGCCAAAGCTTCCAGGCTTTCTTTGCTGCAGATAAGGGCTGTTGTTTTCTGTTTTCAGACCTGCTTCTCAACTGTTCGATGGACTTCCAAAATTGCATGTAAACACATATTCCTCCCAGACTAAAGTTGCCAGCACAGAACGCTCTTGCTTCCTAGGGCGTCCCCAGGCGGACAAACCAACTGCACCACAAAACCAAGTCTTCCAGGCTTTCTTTCCTGGTGATAAAGACTGTCACTTCCTGTTTTCAGCCCTGCCTCCCAACTGCTGGCCCAACTCTCAAAATTGCCTACGGACAAAGATTCCTCCCATGGCAATGATGCCAGCATGGAAACTTTATTTCCAAATTGAGTCTTCAGACTGACAAACCAACTGCACCACAAAGTCAAAATTTGCTGGCTTTCTTTACTGGATAAAAGGGTTGTTGTTTCTGTTTTCACACCTCTTTCTCAACTGCACAACGCACTTCCAAAATTGCATGTAAACAAAGATTCCTCACACACTAAAGCTGCCAGAACAGAAAGCTCTTGCTGTCTAGGGCATCCCCAGGCTGACAAAGAAACTGCACCACAAAGCCAAATTTTCCAGGTTTTCTTTCCTGGAGATAAAGGCTGTCACTTCCTGTTTTCAGACCTGCCTCCCAACTGCCAGTCCGACTCCCAAAATTGCCTACGGACAAAGATTCCTCCCATGGCAATGATGCCAGCATGGAAACTTTCTCCCCATTGAGTCTTCAGACTGGCAAACCAACTTTACCATGAAGTCAAAGCTTGCTGGCTTTCTTTCCTGCACATAAGGGCTTTTGTTTCCTGTTTTCAGACCTGAGATGAAACTGCCAGCCTGACACCCAAAACTGCATATGGAAGAAAATTCTTCCCAAATCAAAGCTGCCATGACAGAAAGCTCTTACTGACCATGGTGTGCCCTGGATGGTCCACCAATTGCAAGACAAAGTCAAAACTTCTAGGCTTTCTTTGCTGGGGATAATGGTGATTGTTTCCTGTTCTCAGCCCTGCACTCCAACTGCCATTCCTCGCTGACAAAGTTCCACATATACCGAGATTCTTCCCACACAGAATAGGCCAGTCTACAAAGCTCATGCTGCCCATGGAGTGTCCAGGTTGACCCACCAGTTGCACCAGAAACCCAAATCTTCCAGGCTTCCTTTCCTGGCCAGAAGGGCTGTTGCTTCCTGTTTTCAGCCCTCAGATGAAACTGCCAGCCTGACACACAAAATTGCATACAGATGAAGTTTCCTAACAAATCAAATGTGCCACGACAGAAAGTTCTTTCTGCCCATGGAGTGCCCAGGCTGGTCCATCAACTGCAAGGCAAAGCAAACTTCCAGGTTGTCTTTGCTGCGGATAATGGCGATTGTTTCCTGTTCTCAGCCCTGCACTCAAACTACCATTCCTCTGTGACAAAATTCCCTACGAACCAAGATTCCTCCCAGATGGAATAGACCAGTCTAATAACATCTTGCTGCCCATGCAGTGCCCAGGCTGGCCCACCAATTGCACCAGAAAGCCAAATCTTCCAGGCTGATAGAATGATGATAACGGTAAGTAAGAGCATTCCAGCGGAAGTGCTGCACCATTAACGGCGCGTGCAAGGAGAGCGAAGTAAGATTGTCTGGAGCGAACACTTACAAGAGAGCAAAGGATAGAAGGTACTTTGCAAGGCATATCAGCATGAGCTTGATGCTGCTCTTCCACCTAGGAAGACTGGGAAAGTCTCAGGACCCTCTACGTCCCTCGAAATCCCCTGCTACACCTTGAGAAGTTGCAGCACTGCCGCTGGAAAGCTCTTACTTACCGTTATCATCATTCTATCATTTTTCACCTGATCATAAATAAAGCAAAGGCCATTTTAGCAGTAACTTAACTGAACAGTATGTTTTCTGTAGTGTGACATGTGCCAGGGATCACTCTGGAGTTGGTCTAGAGAAGGGACTGGGAGTAAGGGTCTCCATGTGCCAAGCCCCAAAGCCCTTCACCTGACCTTTCAGATGAGTGGTGAACGGCTCTCTCAGCCCCAGCCATCGCAGGCAGCGCTCTGGTGGGTGCCCCGTGTGTTCCCTGCTTGTGCATGGGTGTCACCTACTGAGTCCTCATCCTGTCCCCTGCTCACCCCTCAGCTTTTTCCCTGGGGAATATGCTGTCCTTGCCACTGCTTTGACTCGGACATCCAGCAGTCCTGCTGGAGCCACGTTCCTCTCTAACACTGTGCATTTTCCCAGTAGAGCAAGGCACAGCCAGAGACCCTGGGCTGCTGCCCAGCAAGGTTCATCTCCTGTTCCTGGGCAGCTGGGAGAGAGGTGTTTGTCCTAGGCAGAGGATGAAGTACAGGGATGAAGCTCCAGAGGCGGAGGAGACACGTGTTCCCCGCGAAAGCTGCAACCAGACCAGAGGGCTGTTTTGTGACTCTCTCAGCAAACAGACAGTTTGGTGTGAGCATAAACCTTGGCTCTCTCGTCCTCGCTCTCTGCCAGCGCAACCTAGTGATTAAGTTCTGGCTTTTCATCACTGCACCCTTCTTCTTCCTCCCAGGAAAGACTCAACAGCCTTTTAAGAGTTGCATATGTGGAAATACTATCAAAGAAAGAAAATTGTTTGCAGAGTATATTCTCGTCTTTGCTATATTGTATGTGTTCATTACAGACGATCCTACCTCGCTAAGAAAAAGAGAAGAGAATGAAGAGACACCTTAACATGGGAACTTTGGTTTTCTGGTGCAATTGGTGGGCTGGCCTGGGCACTCCACGGGCAGCAAGAGCTTTCTGTCATGGCACCGTTGGTGTGGAAGGAATCTTTGTCCATATGCACGTTTGGGAGTCAGACTGGCAGTTTCAGGGCAGGGATGAAAACAGGAAACAAGAGCCCTTATCCCCGGGAAAGACAGTCTGCAAGCTTTGGTTTTCTGGGGCAGTTGGTGGGCCAGCCTGGGCACTCCATGGGCAGGAAGAGCTTTGTGGACTGACCTATTCTGTCTGGGAGGAATCTTGGTTTGTGTGGAATTTTGTCAGGGAGGAATGGCAGTTGGAGTGCAAGGCTGAGAACAGGAAACAATCGCCATTATCCCCAGCAAAAAAAGCCTGGAAGTTTTGACTTTGTCTTGCAGTTGGTGGGCCACCCGGGGTACACCATGGGCAGCAAGAGCTTTCTGTCGTGGCACCTTTGATTTTAGAGGAATCTTTGTTGTATGGAATTTTGGATGTCAGGCTGGTCATTTCATCTCAGGGTTGAAAATAGGAAACAACAGCCCTTCTGCCCAGGAAAGGAAGCCTGGAAGCTTTGACTTTCTGGTACAATTGGTGGGTCAGCCTGGGCACTCTATGGGCAGCAAGTGCTTTCTGTCATGGCACCGTTGGTGTGGGAGGAATCTTTGTCTGTATGCAATTTTGGGTGTCAGGCTGGTAGTTTCATCTCAGTGCTGACAAGATGAAACTGCCAGCCCTTCTGACCAGGAAAGGAAGTCTGGAAGCCTTGGCTTTCTGGTGCAATTGGTGGGCCAGCCTGAGCAGTGCATGGGAAGCAAGAGTTTTTTAGACTGGTCTATTCTGTCTGGGAGGAATCTTGGTTTGTGTGGAAGTTTGGCAGGGAGGAATGGCAGTTGGAGTGCAGGGCTGAGAACAGGAAACAATCGCCATTATCCCCAGCAAAAAAAGCCTGGAAGTTTTGACTTTGTCTTGCAGTTGGTGGGTCACCCAGGGCACACCATGGGCAGCAAGAGCTTTCTGTCGTGGCACATTTGATTTGGGAAGAATTTTCATCCGTATGCAATTTTGGGTGTCAGGCTGGCAGTTTCATCTCAGGGTTGAAAAGATGAAACAACAGCCCTTCTTGGCAAGGAAAGGAAGCTGGAAGCTTTGGCTTTCTGGCGCAATTCCTGCAAATGTTTTATCTCTGTTCTGATGTTTAAAAGGGCAGAACCATATCAGGAGCCCATAGGTATAGGAGAGTGAGCTTGATGCTGTTCATCCACCTGGGAAGACTGAGAAAGTCTCAGGACCCTCCACGTCCCTCGAAATCCCCTGCTACACTTTGAGAAGGTGCAGCACTTCCAGGTGCAGCTCTGTTATCTCTGGGCTTGGAGGTGTTTCTTCCTCCCAGGAAATACTCAACAGCCTTTTAAGACCCGTGTGTGGAAATACCATCGAAAAAGAAAAATTCTTGCAAAGTATCTTCTCGTCTTTGCTATATTGCATGTGTTCATTACAGACGATTTTACCTTGCTAAGGAAATGAGGAGAGAACGAAGAGACACCTCAACCTGGGAACTTTGGCTTTCTGGGGCAGTTGCTGTGCCAGCCTGGAACTCCATGGACAGCAAGAGCTTTGTAGACTGGGAGGAATCTTGGTTTGTGTGGAATTTTGTCAGGGAAGAATGGCAGTTGGATTGCAGGGTTGAGAACAGGAAACAATCGCCATTATCCCCAGCAAAGAAAGCCTGGAAGTTTTGACTTTGTCTTGCAGTTGGTGGGCCACCCGGGGCACTCCATGGACAGCAAGAGCTTTCTGTCATCGCACCATTGGTGTGGGAGGAATCTTTATCCCTATGCAATTTTGGGAGTCGACCTGACAGTTTCATCTCAGGGCTGAAAATAGGAATCAAGAGCCCTTATCCCTGGGAAAGAAAGCCTGGAAGCTTTGGTTTTCTGGGGCAGTTGCTGGGCCAGCCTGGGCACTCCATGGGCAGCAAGAGTTTTCTGTCTTGCTGCCTTTGATTTGGGAGGAATCTTTGTCCGTATTCAATTTTGGAATTGGGCTGGCAGTTTCAGGGCAGGGATCAAAACAGGAAACAAGAGCCCTTTTCCCCGGGAAAGAAAGCCTGGAAGCTTTGGTTTTCTGGGGCAGTTGGTGGGCCAGCCTGGGCCCTTCATGGGCAGCAAGAGCTTTGTAGACTGGCCTATTCTGCCTGGGAGGAATCTTGGTTTGTGTGGAATTTAGTCAGGGAGGAATGGCAGTTGGAGTGCAGGGCTGAGAACAGGAAACAATTGCCATTATCCCCAGCAAAAAAAGCCTGGAAGTTTTGACTTTGTCTTGCAGATGGTGGGCCAGCCTGGGCACTCCATGGGCAGCAAGAGCTTTCTGTCGTGGCACCTTTGATTTTGGAGGAATCTTTCTCCCTATGCAATTTTGGGAGTCGACCTGGCAGTTTCATCTCAGGGCTGAAAACAGGAAACAACAGCCCTTCTCATCAGGAAAGGAAGCCTGCAAGCTTTGGCTTTCTGATGCAATTGGAGGGCCAACCTTGGAACTCCATGGGCAGCAAGAGTTTTCTGTCGTAGTACTTTCGGTGTGGGAGGAATCTTTGTCCGTATGCATTTTTATGGAGTCGGGCTGGCAGTTTCCGGGCAGGGATGAAAATAGGAAAGAAGAGCACTTATCCCTGGGAAAGGAACCCTGGAAGCTTTGACTTTCTGGTATAATTGGTGGGTCAGCCTGGGCACTCCATGGACAGCAAGAGCTTTCTGTCGTGGCACCTTTGATGTGGGAGGAATCTTTGTCTGTATACATTTTTTGGAGTTGGGCTGGCAGTTTCATCTCAGGGTTGAAAACAGGAAACAAGTGCCCTTATCCCTGGGAAAGAAAGCCTGGAAGCTTTGACTTTCTGGGGGAGTTGGTGGCCAGCCTGGGCACTCCATGGGCAGCTAGAGGTTTTTAGAGTGGTCTATTCCGTCTGAGAGAAATCTTTGTTTGTGTGAAATTTTGTCAGGGAGGAATGGCAGTTTCAGTGCAGGGCTGAGAACAGGAAATAATCGCCATTATCCCCAGCAAAGAAAGCCTGGAAGTTCTGACTTTGTGTTGCAGTTGGTGGGCCACCCAGGGCACTCCATGGGCAGCAAGAGCTTTCTGTCGTGGCACCTTTGATTTGGGAGGAATCTTCATCTGTATGCCATTTTGGGTGTCTGGCTTCATCCCTGTCCTTCTTCCTCTTCCTGGGACAAATACCTCTCTTCCAGTTGCCCAGGAACGGGAGATGAGCCTTGCTTGGCAGCAGTCCAGCCCATCCACAGGGAGCATCACCACCTGCAGCAGGAGCACTTCTGGGTGACTCAGTCCGGTTGGGGTTTTGGTAGGGGTGTAGCACCAGTGCTATGGCGAGGCGTTGTATGGGAGAAGCACCTTCCCCAGGGAAAGCTTGGAGGTGGCATGGTATCTCCCACCTGCTTTGGAGTCATGGAGATGCAGTCTGCATTCATGGAGCAAGGCCCAGGAAAGTGAACATTGCTTTTCTGTCCCGTGTCTCTGATGTGTCGGGGAGGGGTTACTGTATCAGGGAAAAAGGTTCGAGAGATTCTGGAACCTGGAAAACTAAACACCGTTGCTAGTTAACAAAGTAACTATTTATTATGACAGGTGGCAAACAGGAAAGGAAAAAAACAGGTGCCTAAGGAAAAGGGATTAGGGAGGAGGAAGAAAAGTGAACAAAGACCCTAGAAAGAAAGCTCGACACCCTACTCACCCAGGTGTCACCTATAAGAGAGTCTTACCCACCCTAACTGGTAATAAAGCCTCTCTGCAGCAGCTGCGTGTTCTGAAGGGCTGGCAGGCTCCCACTTCAGCAGGCGTCCCCGCTAAAAGCAACTTGGTCCTTCATGAAGAGCCGGCACTCCACACGGAAAATGTGTCTACTTTTATACAGTTCATTGAGAACTCCTGCCCCAGGGAGGTGTGGCCAGTACCACCCCGTCAGGGGTTCTCAATCCCACCCCTTTGGTTATGTAAGTGCACCCCTTCTGCGCATGCATGAGAACTTTGGAAATCCCCTCACGCAGGCACAGTGAGTACTGGAGGTCTTTCCTAATTGAGTCTGGGGGAGAGCCTTCTTCATTTCATCATCACTTTCTCCTCCAAATGCCCTTGACGAGCCATTGACCAATCACAAGAGACCAATTAAAACAGTTTATACAGAAGTTCTCCCTCCAAGGCCAAGTTCACTGTTTTATCAGTGAACTTGGCCGGGAGAACTGTAAAATTCTGCAGGTGGCTAAGGCCAAACACAGACCAAAAATATCATCCCAACTTCGTCCCAATACACTCTGAAAATATCGCATCGTGTTTCATTGATCTGCTTCCTAGACAGAAGGCTCCCAGCCTGCGAAGGCTGTACGGGTAGAGGGTGTCAAGGGTCTGGTGAACCTCTAAGTAAACACCTGTGCTACCCTCCCATCTCCGCAGAGCTGTAACATGGGGAGAAATCATTGAGTTTTGTTCTCTCTTCCACTAGTACCTCAGCCCAAGAGTATCTCTATGGAGGGGGAGTTTGGCCTGGCTGAGCTCTCCCAGCAGAGCTCCCTGGAGATAATCACATGAAGCTCACTAGAGGGAAGAGAGGAAGCCCTCAGCTGCTCTGTCTCCAAGCTGGACATGGCCAGTCTGTCAGGCATCCAGGCAGGGAGATGGGCTCATGAGCCTTACCCACTCTGCACAGTCTCTGGTCGAAATAGGGTTTGTTTTCTTCATCCCTGTGGGAGAGAAGCATGTGGTCTGGAATGCACTTGGCCCTTCAGTCCCAGTGATAGTTCCTTGGCTCTCAGACTGCGATTCCAATGTGGGGGATAAGGGTCCTTGTGGGCTGAAGTCCAAAACTGTTGCTGGAACTCTGCAAGCCACAGGCGCTGTTCTTCCTCTCACAGTGCATCGACCTCAGGGCCGTGTCCCTTTCCTTCAGTTCCCCTTTGGGACAACATCTCTGCGGCTCTCAATCGGCACCTGGTCGATGGGCTGCACAGGTACATTTGGCAGGGGCTTGGACAGGAGAGGGAGCTGTGCCCTACCTGGCACCCCCAGCACTGCGCTGGAAGCTGATCCATGCAGGTGGACACATGAGTGGGACAGGAACCCTCAGTCTTTCTGCCTGTCCATGAAACCAACGTCTTCCTTTTGAGGTCTCCAGCACTGGGGAGAGCAGGTGTGTGCTGGCGTGGAGCAGTGTGTGGGTGTGGTGAGGGTGGAGGGGTTGCCAGACATGCTGAGGCACTGCCAGCATTAGAACTGAACTGAAGATGCAAATTTTGGTGAGACCGTCCTTGTTGGGCCCTGCAATTGGCAGCAGCAGAGCGAGAGTGTGATCTGTAGAGCAGCAGGAAAGGAGGGCACAGGGGGCAGGTGCTGCAGGTCAATGCTTCTTTCTTGAGCAGGTCTGTTGCAGACTGGTACATAACTGTTCAACTGCACCATCCTGCTTTCACCCTGGCCAGCAACCAAGGCCCACACAGCTGTTCACTCACTCCCACCTCAGTAGGATCCAGGAGACAACCGGATGGGTAAAAGCAAGGAAACTCACAGAGTCAGAAAAAGACAGCTTAATTGGGAAAATAGAAGGCATGCACAGAAGCAAAACAATGCAAAAAATTAATTCCCTGCTTCCCATTGGCAGGCAGGTGTTCAGCTGCCTCCAGCAGAGCAGGGCCCCATCACGCATGATGGGTACTTTGGAAGACAAACACCATCACAACAAACCTCCCCTCCTTCCTCCTTCTTCTCCCCAAGGTTGAAATACTGAGCATGATGTCATAAGGTCTGGCACATCCCTTTGCTTAGTGTGAGTCACCTGTCCTGGCTGTGTGTCCTCCTAACATCCAATTCACCACCAATTTCCTTGCCAGTGTGGCAGCAGAAAAAGCAGAAAAAGCCTTTGCTCTGTGTAAGCTCAGTAATATCAAAGATGCCTCTGTATTATGAACCCTGGGTTCAGCATGAATCCATAAAACCAGCCCCATAGCAACCACTGTGAAGAAAGTTCACTCTACCCAGGCCAAAACCAGCAACAAGCACTCAGACTCCTCCTGAATCTGGGAAAATGTTGCTCTGTGTTGCTCACAGACAGAGCAGTGGAGTGTCCCCAGCACATTTCACTTGGTGAGTAACACACAAGGACACACACAGGGAGAGGCTCAGGCACGTTGATGTGATCTCATGCACAAATCTGTGCTACCCCAGCACACAAGTGCACACAAACCAGGAGGCCACGTAGGAAAACAACCAACCATGGACTCTGCTGAGGACACCTGGGGACAAGATCGCAGGGTTGGGAAGGACAAGGCTCTAGGCAAGCCCGTGACACTGTGTGCTCAGAGACTGACCTGTGGGGTGAAGTCACAGCCCCACAAATGAAGTTTGAAGGATTTGGAGTGTTGCAGAGTGTTGGGCCATTTCCCGTGAGAGCAGTGGAGCTAAGTAGATAGCTCCCATGGACACAGCCTTGAGCTGTGTGGCTGAGTGCAGGTGCCGCATTCCTGGATGTTGTTGTAAGAATAT